TCTTGGATGGTTTCGCTGACTGTAAATCTTACCTTGTCCTTAAGTGGGCTTCAACACGAACTTGGTTTACCAATATAATGTCTTTTTGGGCAGAGCCTTCATTGGCATGTCCTTAACTCAGAGGTCCAAGTCAAACCGAACTGTTCCCTGGAATTACAGTGTGTCTGTTCAGTTCCTGGTTGGCTGCAGAAGCTCAGTGTGGGGTGGGGGGTTTGCAGTTACAAAAAAAATATTACATGCCTAATGCACCTCTTAATCTGTTCTGTGTTACTTAATGTGGATTTTTTTCAGCTTTGACAATAATTGTCAGACTTCTGTAGCTCCTGGAGCAATCAGTAATCGGTCTCTTTGTAACAGCTAAATGGGGTCTTTCCACTTCTAACTCCAGGGTTTGCAAGTCAGAGCATTGGCTCTGCAGTGGATGGTGCACTCACAGAACATGTCACTCCAGTCACTCATCCAGAAAGACTTACTTAACAGATACTTTGGTTTTTTCCTGGCCTTTTCATAAGGACTAGACTGTATCTATAAATTTCATTCTGAAGCTATGGGATAAAATACTTTATGCAAACAGTGATTTAATATCAAGAGCTCAGGATTTGTGAAAAGTACAAAATCTTAAGATTTAGCATTATATTTGGAGTGTCCTGTGAGAGCAGCTGGCTCTGGAGGGCCCTGCTGCTCAACATCTCCCAGGAGCTGAGTGAGTGGGGAGCACTGTAAAATGAATAAAGGGCAGAATCGTGTAGCAGATGTGCTACCCTAAACTCTAATTCTCATCTGCCTGTATAAAGTGACCTGGAACACGTCAGGTGGTTTTATCCTGATGGGGGACTGGGCACTGCTCCATCAGCAATGGGGCTTCTCCTGCGTGAGGGGGTGGGGGTCTCTGCCTGCTGGAGTCGGGATGGCTGCAGGGAGCAGGGAGCAGGGAATAGGGCTGGAATCCGAACTCAGCACTTCAGTCTTAGTGCAGATTCTCCGGGGATAAGGGCAGCAAGAACTCTGACATGAGTCACAGTAGTGTATGAGCTGCTTAGGGCTTTCAGCACTGTTGGTGTCACTCTAAGTGTGGGATATGGGTGGAAGAGCAGTGGTTTCTTAGGCTCATTCCAATCACAGTGTGGGGAGGGACAGTTTTTACACCCCCATGGTGAGCACTGCACCCATCTAACAGGCAGAGGGGAGCTGGGGCAGAGGTACAGCATAGGAGAGGTGCCTCTGCAGTGTGCCACGGGTGTTCAGGAGACTGAGGGAAGGCTGCTGGTCTTTCTCACGGAGCTGCTCGAATGCCTTAACTTGGAGCGGTGCAATAGACTTTGTTCTTCCATCCCTTTCAACTGTTTTGCAGTGTAATTATTTAAAAAATAAAGTCCCAGTCTCAAGTTTAACTAGACAGGTATTGACAGAAGGTGTGTGATGGTGCTGCAAAGATGGAGCAGCAGATCCCACTGCCATGTGTGGTGTTGACTTTAATTTTCCTCTTGTTACCTCTTCAGAGCTGCTTCACCTGACCCGTGTGGGTCAGGTGTCCATGAAAGGCTGTTGGGATTTCATGGTTCTTGAGCACAGACACTTCTGGTGCTGCCAGATGAGTTTGAAGCATGTTAATTTAAGATGGAAGGGGATACTTCCCTCAGCACAGGTTGTAAATACTTCTTATTCTGAGGAGGTTTACCACAGATAGGACTTGAAAGAGGCTTAGAAGACAATAAGAGACTGGAAAAATTTTCTTGTGAAATGGGAGTTCAGCACTTTTGGTTTGGGTTACAGCTTGATTCAGTGTAGAAATAGAGGCTGTTACTCCCCCTGTTTGCAAAGCTGATTCCCTCTGCTCCTGTGTGCTCAGTGCTGGTACTGAGAGTTCTGTGGGACCTGTTAAAATGAGCTTTTCTGACCAGTGTCGTTCTTCAGAACTGAGCCTTGTTTCACATCTGTGACAATGTGCTCAGCAGTATTGGCCGTACTTGTAAAAAGCCTTGAGTGATTTCTCTCTTAACCCTGGGTTTTGGTGAGTGTTGTGTAATTCCAGAGGCAGGTTTCCCAGCGGGACTGCAAGCCTTGCATTTTCCCCATGTTAACTGTTTTAAACGTGGCTGTGTGTTGCTGATAGCACGGCCCTGGCTGGGACCCTTATCAGCAGCTCTCACTGGTGGGGCTGTCACAGGAACCGCTGTCCTGGGTCAGACCAGAGCTGGTGAGGAAATGGGACCCCTGGGACACGGAGGGGGGTGTACCCTGCCTACCCTGGGAGATCTGCAGCTCCTCTCCAAACAGAGGGATCCCAGTCTGTGGGAGAGCAGGGACACCCCTGGCCACCAGAACCCTGACTCCAGAGCTGCATGTGAGGGCCTGGCTCGTGTGCCTGTGGTGTGACCAGGAAACAGACCCCAGACATTTGGGCCTGGATTGCTGCCCCCCGGGCTTCAGAGCTGCACTTCAGGATCCTGTCAGGACAGTAAATGCACATCCTCACAGTGTGATGTGCTGTTGGATGTGCTGCACTGGTGTGCCTCTGGAACAGGCCTGGCCCTGACTGTGACCCCTGTGTTTGTCAGCTGTCAGATGAGGTCCATGGGGAATTTCTGGGAGTGAGGAAGTGCTCCCGGGGCCAGGGCTCCAGTCGTGTCTCACCTTCCCGCTGCCATGGGCTGCACAGGCAGGGCTGAGCCAGGAACTTCTTACCTGGTAGGTGGACTTTGAGTGAAACCAGAGAACAACCATTATAACAGGGTTTTTTCTTCATTGCTTTATAAAAAGAGTTTGTCAGGAATAACACAGAGGTAAGGATCCCAGGAATATCTGTGAATCCCCAGTAAAGAAAGCTGGAGAAGGAGGCCAGGAATCAAAGCAGTTGATTTAGTTAGTTTAGTGTTTATTCTAATGCATTTTTGTGGTTATGGGTGTCATAAGCACAGTCTGAGGAGGTATAAACTGAAGGAGCAGCATCTCTTAAGAGCTCCAGCTGTACTGGGCAGCTGGGGGGGACATGGGACACCCCTGTGATTGTGCACTGAATTCTTGACTCTGAGCTTTGGCCTTCCAGTGACAGCATCTTCCAGGAGTCCTGCAGTGCGTGGATTACCTGAGTGATACAGTAAATCTGACAGTTTTCTCCTTGTATTTACAGTGCATCTGGTGCGAGTGTTGTTGCCATTGACAACAAAATAGAACAGGCAATGGTAAGTAAAATATCATTTGTTTTTTCTAATAGGATTAATGTGGTTCATCACTGAGCCTGTTTCCAGCTGTGTTGTGTTTCTGTGACCCTCCACATGGGTCAGACTGAGACCATCATTTGAAAAATGGATTTTCTGTATATCTGTGAGTGACCACAAACCATGATTGCCTTTACTGTTGGCCCAGAAATGTTAGTCAGTGAATTTTCTTACAAATTGCTGTGAACAAGCTGATTGAACTTAAAGGGGTGGTGAAAATAAATAGTGCATTTCAGTCTGTTGGTTTAGCCAAGTTCATCACTAGTTTTCAGTTCATTACTAGAAGGGTAAAGTGTGCCATCCTTAACATACTGCTTCCCTTACAGCTGTTGGATTTTTGCTACTGCTGATGTAAAAGCTTTCTTATATCTTGGTTCTCCCACACCCCAGTGCAGGGCCTGTATGCTGCAAACCCCGACCCCCAGGTCACAGCTTCAGAGCTGGTGCTTTCCTTCTGAGGAGCTGGGGTGTAATTCTAGTCCTTGTGTTCCATGTAACTGAGGTGACCTGGCGTGCTGGAGACGCAGCTTTTGATGTCAGGGCCACTTCAAGGGAACAAAAGGGCTGGGTTGTTTGTGCTTGAAGGCTGATTTATTCATATATTTTTTAGTGACAGTGCTTTGGTTTTCCAGGCTTACTGCAGTGAAAGCAGTAACAGTAAGTTCTGGGGCTGGGGTGAAGGAAAGTGTTCTTTCCCTTGGTGTAACTGTCCACTTGTTCTCTGCAGGATCTAGTGAAAAGCCATTTGATGTATGCAGTGAGAGAAGAAGTGGAAGTCCTGAAGGAACAAATAAAGGAATTAGTCGAAAGAAACTCTTTACTTGAACGAGAAAACGCACTGTTGAAGTCGCTGTCCAACAACGATCAGCTGTCCCAGCTCTCCAGCCAGCAGGGCCCCCCCAGCAGCAGCTCCTCGGCGCAGCCCCCGCCCGCGCAGCCGCCGCAGCCCAACGTGTCCTCGGCGTGAGCCAGAGCAGCCGCTTCTGTCTGTGTTTGGCCTTTGCAGTATTAGACAATCACCTCCCGACTGGCCCCGCAGGCCCTGCCTGGGCACAGGGGCAGCCCCTGAGCCCGGGGCCTCCCTGGGCTGCGGGAGGGAGGGAGGGAGGGCTGGCAGAGCTTGGCTGGCTCTCCGAGGTTCCCATTGCCCCTGGGTTGCTTTGAGCCTTGCTGTCTGGTAAGGAGCAACAATTCCTCTTCAGAGCCACTGTTCTTTTCATATAAGTAACATTTGCCTACGTTAGTTTCATTTATTTGTTTTATTTATTACAGGGCTGCTATTTTCATAATGTACATGAACAATGTCACAGAACTTTTTAAATTTTTTTTTAATAAATGTCTGTATGGGTAAAATGGTAGATGGGATTGCGTTAATAGATACAATGTCTAGGCAATAATTGAACAAAGAACCCTGGCATATTTCTAACACTAATGGCAATTGACCTTTGGTATTTATTTACGGTAGTAAAGATCCAGCTTGAATGTAAATTTTGTATAGAGTGTAAGTATGAAGACCATAGTGCATCTGTACAGGTAGTCACCAGTCCTTGTGATATAATAAATAAGTGATGGGCTATTTTGATGAAGAAAACTTTGCTCATTTCTGTTTCTACTTTCTAATAGAGAGAAAGGGCCACGATTCCTCTGCTTTTTGACATTTCGTTTTTGGTTTGTTTTTTGGGTGGGAATAAAAAGCTGTGAAATTGTTCAACCTACTTTGTAACCAAAGAAGCAAAGCTGTGTAATTGAGGTTTGGTGTTTTTTTTTTTTATTTTATTTTTATTTTATAATGCACATTCTCTATGTATTTTTATTTAGTGTTTTCTCATTCACGACTTTCTTTGCTGTCTCGCATGATCTGCATGACCTGTAATCTTTGAACCACTTTCGTACCTCATGTTTTTATCCAGCACTCTTAGTGTAATATGTACTAGTCTGTGAACAATGTCAATAAAGAGAAAGAACAGCTGGTGTTGGTGGAGCTGAGCTAGTGTGCTAGGCACTAGTTGTTAAAACAAATAAATGAAGTGAGCCATCTTTTGTTCATTTAAAATGGTGTTTTGAATTTCGTATGCAGAAAACGTTTTGTTACATTGCAGATTTTAATGTATTTAATAAATGCAACATGCAGATTAAGTGCAGTGTATACTGAGTATTTAAATTAAAAATGTACATTTCATAAATACAATTTCAAGAAAGACCATCATTTGTGTAAACTAACGCAGTGTGTCAAATTGATGTACAAATATATATATATTTTAACACATTTTCTGAAATTAAACTGCAGTTTTGTTGAAGTTTTTGGCTGTAGATGTTGTTGCAATGTAAGTAAATTCAGTAGCACTTTTTTCTGAAGACAATGGAGAAACTGTCTCTCTGATGTTGCCTAACAGATGAGTGCCAGGGTTACCACTGCTGCTTTTGCAACAGACTGGTGCCTTCTGTTCAAGGAGAAGCATCATCTGATGCTGTCAGTGGCCCTCTTGGGTTTGGGTTTGCAGTGAGAGCTGTAAATTAACACCTGGGCCTGCTGGTTCACTGCTGTGAACCTCTGCTTCAGTACCTGAGCCTCGTGTGTGTCTAACTCTGCTCAGGTTTGTGTCTAAGGTAAAACAGGAGCAGCACTGGAGACTGCAAGTTTTCGTGCCTTCAGATCTTAGAGAAACGTCTGTGTCCTGGAAACAGCTCTGCCTGCCCTTCCCGGTAAGGATCAGCTCAGTGTGTGTGTGCTGAAAAGTTCTTGCTGAAGTAACGCCAGAATGATCTCCCCGGCAGGTGTGGGTGGGTGCTCTGCCTGCTGGGAGCACCTCTGGGAGTCCTTGGTGCAACGAGGGCCTCGCTCACAGAGCAGAAACCAAAGTATTGCAGGAGCTCCGTGTGTTCCCCCTCCACTGCAATCAGTGGCTCACTGCAGCTGCACTGTGAGGAGGATGCTGCTAAAGTAAGTAAAAAGGGACAATTTTGGGGACTTCTCGGAACAAGAGTCCCTCAGGTAAGTAGTTGGTTAAAACTTTTATGGAGGGAACACTGTACCTGTCCATTTTCTGAGCGAAACAGAACAGAGATGTTCGAACCGTGACTGAGGTGGTCAGAGATCCGCAGCCGGGAGCAGAGGGGCACCGAGCCCGTGAGGATGGTCCCAGCACCCCAACCCTCCCGGGGCCGGGCAGGGCCCGTGCTCTGCCCCCCGAGGGAGGGTGTGGGGCTGTGCCGAGAGAGGGGCACGCACACCCCTCGGAGGGGCTGCGGAGGCGCTTGCTCCAAAAGAGAAACCCTTTAGTAAATCTGCAGGAAATAGAGTTGAAGCAAAGGTTGAACTCACGCTGTTAGAAAACCTTTGTTTGCTTTGCTTCGCTCCTGTGGGTTTGGTGAGCACAGACCGGCCCTTCCGCAGCTCCCGCGCGGGGCCGCGGGACGGCGCTGTGGGGCCAAGACTGTGGGGCTGGGGCGGAGCTGTGGGACTGGGACTGTGGGGCCGGGGCTGTGGGGCGGAGCTGTGTGTGGGGCGGGGCTGTGGGGCGGAGCTGTGTGTGGGGCGGTGCTGTGGGACTGTGGGGCGGGGCTGTGTGTGGGGCTGGGACTGTGGGGCGGAGCTGTGTGTGGGGCGGTGCTGTGGGACTGTGGGGCGGGGCCGGGCGGCCATGGTGTGCCGGGGCTGTGGGGCCGGGGCTCTCACGCTCGTTCCCGGGGGTCTCTGTGCGAGCCGCCGGTTCCGCCGCCCCCCGGGCCTGTTCCCCGTCGTTCCGCGCCCCGCCCGTGTCCCCGCTGTCCCGTGTCCCCGCTGTCCCGTGTCCCCGCTGTCCCGTGTCGCAGCCCGGGGGCTGAGGGGCCGCTCCCGCGCCCGGGGGTGTTTGGCCCGCGCCCGGCTGTGCTCGGACACCGCCTGTGGCCCCGGGTCCCCCCCGTGCCCCGTGTTCGCAGCCGGGCGGGTCTCGGGGCCGATGTCGCTCACAGGGGCGGCTCTGTCAGGGGACGTTGTTCCGAAGGGTGTTTCCTTGGAGCGGGGAAGGAGCCCTGTCCCAGCCGTGGCACCGGGCACAGAGCGGACGGGGCCTGGCAGGGGCGCAGGGGAGGCAAACCATGTGCCAGCCCTGATGTGATACCGGAGCGGAGCCGTGCAGCCAGCCCCAAGGCTTCACAGGAAAACAAAAGGCAAGATTTGAGGTAACAGTGAGTTGCGGGTGGTTAATGACATCACCTCAGCCAGCTCAGCTCTGCCGAAGAACCTGCCCGTGTCTGCAAACGCAGCCCCGCGTCACACGTCCCCTGGCGCTGGCAACACCTCAGCTGCCAGTGCCTGCAAACGAGAACTGGCGTCTCACCAGGGCAAATAAACCTGGGCGTTGCTCTCTCACGTTTCTGAGAAGAAACAAGCGTGGTGCTTTGCAGCATTTGTACTTGGGCACATGGAGCCAGAGCACAGCTGGGGCCAGGAGGCCTCTCTGGAGACCCCCAGCGCAGCCCCCGCTCCAGCCTGTGGCTGCCCAGGGCCAAGAGCCACCGCAGGGCACAGCACCGCACACACCCCTGCGGCTGGTGCTGGCACCGAAGCAAGACTTCTACTGAGCCTTGAAGAACGAATCTGTACAAACCACCCTGAACATTCCAGTCCCCAAGGCCCTCGAACAGCTCCTGCAGTGGCAGCAGGAACCTGTCAGACCCGAGGCCTCTGCGGCATTCCCAGGGGCCAGAGAGACGAGTGTGGAGCAGCCACCTGCTGAACCCCTGTGGGGAGATGGGCAGCAGCACCCGGGTGAGTCCAGAGCCCCCAGGCCCAGACCGGACAGCAGAGCAGGGAATGCCCCACAGCACGGGGGCTCCTCTCGGGGAACAGCCAGTTAACCTGTGCTTGGCGTGAAGCAGCCGAATTTCAACACCCAGCACAGCCCCACTTTGCCAACCCCAAGAGAACACAACTTGCATTTGGAAAGAACTTTATTTAAAATCAGCGATTATACAGACTTCCCCCACTCACAGCACACGAGTGCCCCGGCCCAAGGTCCCCGTCCCCCGGGGGCCAGGCTGGGCACACCCATGGCCGTGCTGGCTTACACCAGTCCCCATGATTCCATATGGGAATACACGAGTACAAAAGATCTGCCCCTTCACAGCTAACAGGCATTTCATTAACCTTGACAGATTTGTTTTCTATTACTTCTAGCATAATCAGACTTTGAATTTGTCTTCTGCTAAGAAACCTGGAAAGAGGAAACTTCCTTTAGCAACTGCGTGCACCAGCAGAGCGATTCACACCCCCTTTGTCACCACAGAGACTGCAGGAGTTGGGGCCATCAGCAGGGAAATATGATCAATAGCAGCATTTTCCATGTGACCTCAAGGAACTGTGATCATCTGTAGGGAAGCAGTTAAGTACTGGATCCACTGTTAGAAGAAATCGAGTTGAAAGCAGGTTTTACCTTAAATAGGATTAAATATATATTGCAAGACACACCACACTCCGCAGGGGCTGCACATAGAAGCAGAACTGTGGGCAGGGGGCAGGGTCCCCCCACCTGCACCAAACATTCCCACACAACATTGTCAAATTTAAAACTATCACCACTGGCTGAAAGTTGTCCAAGGAGTATTTACAGCACAGGCACAGCCGGGAGAGGCCCTGGGAGCTCCACAGTCCGTGACGCTCCAGCGCCGAGTCCCGTCGGGAGCAGGTGCTGCCCGGCCACGCCAGTCCCTCGGGAACCCCGGCGCCCCTACACAGACAAGCGCTTGGCGTGGGTTAGGGCAAAGCTACAGGAGCTGCAGCTGCGAGGACGGCACTGCCACATGCTGCAGTGGGGCCTCCCTGTGCACACGGCTGACGCACGGTGGGGCTCCTCGGGAACATGCTGCACAGTCGGGCTCCAGCCACTGCAAAAATCCCGGCTTCCAGCGTCAAATGAAACCATTTCCAGCTATACAGAGGGTGGCACCGGTCTGGGACCGGTGTTTACAAGATGCCAGTTCCTATGGACCTATGTGGCGTTACAGCTCCGTGTACGAGAGACCAGGCTGGATCTTCAGCGAATAAGTAGGTCCACGATTGTAGATCAACAACAGACTTTTATTGCTTTATACATGTGGTGCTGTTCAAGGCACTGTGGCACGGGCTAGAAAACTCGGAATGACTCGTGAAGGGACCTGGAATGCGACACGGCCGGTGCCGCGCGCCGCTCCTCGGCAGTGCTGCGGCGGCCGGGGCCGGCGGGCCATGGCCCGGCCCTGGCCCCTCACATGCCCATCCGGATGCTCTGGATGATCTGGAAGATGGCTGCAAGAGAGCGGAGAAGGGAGCTCGGGGGGCCCGAACGCTGCCGGGCCCGAGGAGCGCCCCGAACAGTCAGCGGGGCCCGCGGCGGCTCACCTGATCCGCACACCACGAAGATGAACAGCGCCAGCAGCCAGGGCCCGACCGACGCCTTCTCCTCCGGGGCCGTTCTCTGCGGGCACAGCACCGGTCAGCGCGGCCCCCCCGGCCCCGCCGCCCCCCGCCCGCCCGGCCCGGCCCCGCGCACCGAGGTCTTGGCGACGTTGCCGCGCTGGGTGATGTTCTTGCTGTGCTTCTCGTTGGCCATGCGGATGCGCTGCTTGGCCACCATGGCGGCCCCGCTCAGCTCGGCTCAGCTCGACTCGGCTCAACCCGGCCCGGTTCGGCCCAGCTCAGATCAGCTCGGCTCGGGTCAGTCCGGCCCGGCCCGGCCCAGCCTAGCTCAGCTCAGCCCGGCCTGGTTCAGCCCAGCCCAGCTCCGCTCGGCTCAGCCCGGCTCGGTCCGGCCCAGCCCAGCTCAGCCCGGTCCAGCCCAGCCC